ATCCGGACGTTAGGGAAACCGAGAGGCAATATGGGACATGTAGTTTACAGGGCTACTGACCAATCGGGACATTTGGGAAACCGAACGGGATTATGGGAAATTTTTTTTTTTTTTTTACTACTGGGACATTAGGGTACAAGAGGGACAAATGGGATCAAAGATAGGGATTTTGACCTTCTCAATTAACTTAAACCAAAAAAAAAAAGCCCCAGCAAGCTGAAAAGAGGCCTGAAACCTCAGGAAAGTCTACAAAAGTCCTTCTGAGGTGGACAGTGCCAAAATAGGCCTTTGAAAGGCACTTTATCATGTACCTGAAGAACTATGAGCATTTATATCTCCCCAATATACAACATTGTCTGTTACCGGGGAAATCTCCTATGGGTGGAGGGAAGGAAGGCGGGGTTGTCCCTCCCTGATCATGTGTAAAGAGCCTGATAAACACCTTCAACCAATCAGAAGGACCATTTGGAAATCCCAATCTCCCCATTAAAAAGCATGCCAAATGTCCTGTTTCCCTTTTAAAGGAAAAGGAACTGGGACATTTGGCATGCCTTATAATGGGAACATTGGGATTTCCAAATGTCCCATTCAACACTTAGGGTCTTCCACCCGTATGAATGGGACATTTGGAAATCCCAATCTCCCCATTATAAAGCATTCCAAATGTCCCACTTCCTTTAAAAAACGGTCCCCATTTCCCTAACATAAAGACTGGGACATTTGGTCATCGCTTCCACTCCATTATAAAGTGACCAGAGCAATCCAACGCTTCCAACGAGGCTGGAGGTTTGTACTTGGTGTCCGGAGCAGGTGCACGTGGGTGGGCCAGCGAGAGAGGTGAGGGTGGGTGAGGAGGCTGGAGGTTTGGACTTAGTGAAAAAAACAAAAAGTGTGGACTTAGTGCAAAAACCACAGGTCCAGACCCCGTCTTGTTAGCAGCCTAGCCAGGCAACGGAGCGTTGTATCTCCGCATGTCTCACATCATTGGACAGGCCTGGATCTAAGCTACAATCCATTAGGAGAATGGAGTCTCTATGATTCTCCCTCGCGGAGATATAGGCGGAAAACCAAGCAGAGATCCATGCGCAAAAACCGCGATTTCGCGCCTCCAGAACCCGACAGCGGTCGTTGTTGGCGGCCTAGCGGGGCCGCGGAGCGTCGGACCCCCGCAAGTCTCACATCAGTGGACAGGCCTGGATCTCAGCTACAATCCATTAGTAGAATGGAGTCTCTACGATTCTCTCTCTCTGAGATATAGGCGGAAAACCAAGCAGAGATCTATGCGCAAAAACCGAGATTTACGCACATCCAGACCCCGACAGCGGGTGTTGTTGGCGGCCTAGCCGGGCTGTAAAGCATTGGACCCCGGCATGTCTCACATCAGTAGACAGGCCTGGATGTCAGCTACAATCTAAAAGTTAAATGGAGTCTCTTTGATGTTTCCCCGCAGAGCAATAAACTTAAAACCAACAAATTACACATATTTTTACATGAAATGAAACATTTTAAACAGAACCAAGATTTAAGTAACTTTATTTTATTCAGATGCTGGTGGTTCAGACGGGTGGGGCCTGCAGGCTTCTTCGAAAAGCTCCRGCATGTTTCTGGACTGGTCTTGCGAGAGGTGCAGGGCATAGAACCGGTCAGCTGTGGATGTGTCGTGGCACATGAAACATGCCAGTTTGTGGCGCACATCCGGATTGTGGCAGTTCCTGGCATGAGTGGCAATAGATGTCCTGATGTCAGTGAAGGTCGGGCTTCCAGGCAAACCCATTTCTTCCCACACCACCCGGAGGAACTGCAAGAGGGTCTTCCCGTTGCCRGGGGTCCCCGTGGTGAAGACACGGTTGTCGTTGGGCTCCAGTCAAGCTCGGAGACGCATCCACCGCTCCAGCCAGACGAACTCGTCCCGAGTCAGGTAGATCTGGGCCATCCCGAAGGCTCGGTTGGTCTTGTGCTCTCTGACCTGGCAGAACAAACAATAATTAGTAATAATGTTCCAGTGACCCACCCGCATCCAGGATGTGGTTACACTCACATTGATGACAACGCCGTGGCTTCCRTCCGGAGATGCGTTTCTCGCCGCCTCCAGCTCTTCCACCTTCATGTTGGCAATCACACCTGTTCTGTGCCCGTAGATGGATGATATGAAGGCGGCCATGTAACCATAAAACCGGTGCCTGACGTTTGGGACGTCTTCYTCCTCCAGCATGTCTGTGGGGATGGAGGAATATCGGTTAAAAAACAGTGATGTGACTGCAGCGAACCTTGGCTGTTATGCACTTACCCAGCAACTCTGGTATCCTGCGGGAGGCCAGCTGCTTGCACGCGGTGAGGTGTTGCTGCGTTACGGCCCTGGACACTTTGGCATCCTTCACGGAGATCTGGTGCACGACCACTTCCCTGCTCAGGTCGCGGAGGCAGCTCTTCAGGGCTCTGGCCACACCAGCCTGCTMGCTCCTTGTCAGACTGCAGGGGTCCGGTGGTGTTTCCATGAAGTACTGCAGGAACTGATGGACGTTTTTCAGGTACACGTTGACCGTAGTGACCGACCTGTTCGCTTTAGCCAGCTCCGCGGGCCACCTCTGTGTGCGCTCCAGGTCATCCAGGAAGAGCCAGTTTTCTTTGCGCCGSCCCCCCTCATACATGTAACCCAAGAAGACGTGGACCCTGTTAGCTTTGGACACCGCYTTCTGGTACTGTTTGTTGTTCGGACGTCCACCCACGTGGAAACTCCTGAAGCCCCGCAGAAAGCAGGCCACCGGTCCTGGCAAGGGAAGCAGCTGCTGGGAAGGGAGCGGTCCGTCCTGGGGTATGGTCGTGCCTGGGTCGCCTCCGTCTCCCTGGTCCTCGCCTGGGTCCCCTCCGTCTCCCTGGTCCTCGCCGTCCACGCTGGAGAGGGCGGCCTGCCTTTCCTAGCCGGGCGGCACCTGGAGGGCGGGCGGCACCGGGAGGGCGGCATGCCTTTCCCCGCCGGGCGGCACCGGGAGGGCGGGCGGCACCGGGAGGGTGGCCTGTCTTTCCCCGCCGGGCTCCTCCATGTGGAGGTCCGAGACCACCGGCGGGCTGACTTGTTTCACCCCGAGCTCTCTGATCAGGTGAAGAGTGCATTTTCGCCTCACCAGATGCAGCCGAGCCCATCTGTCCTCCTCGGTCAGCTCCACATGGGCCCGCAGGATGTGTCTGTCCAGCTGCCCCTCCCTGTAGGTGCAGCCGTRGACAGGGCAGGCATGGTTCCTCACATTTACTCTCCCGAAGGCTAAATTCGAAAGCAGCTTCCTTTCCTGCGGGTTTTTTACACCGTGTCCCCGCCTGAGGTGGCTAGCCATGGCTTTAAACTGTCCGTCGCAGAGCGGACACAGAGGAGCTGCTTCACGTGTCATCTGCACAAACACATTAAATCAGGATAAAACAAATCAGTAAGAACCAGACACAAAACCCATAGCAAGTTTTCTTAATACACTCACCTTCTCGCAGCCTGTCCCCAGAGTGATTCTGCTGGGAGTAAGGGCCGATTTATATAGAGGCAGGAGCTGATTGTTAACTGGCTGCAGCTTTTGCCAAGAAGCTGCACTCACTGGGCCAAATGCTGGAAAAAACCCTAACCTTACCGGGAGCAGCTGGAGCCAGCCTGCAATCAGCTGCACTCACTGGGCCAAATGCTGAACAAAAACCCTAACCCTCCAAAATAAAACCCGGAACCAACACACATGCCGTGGTTTCCGGAGGACCGGTCCGACAACTGGACCAGAGTCGGGAGAAGACGCCATCGGAACCCAAATGTCATACCACAACGCTGGGAAACACAAAGCCGAATCGAAACAGAACAGCCACGATGAACCTATGCGGAGGCCGTTAGAGGCAGAGCGGACTACGGAGACCCACGGAGGGAGCAAGATCAATGCGATTGGCGCAACTACCTAACGGTCTACAACGAGCGCCGAGTGGGACAACACGGAAGCGGCAGAAGGTACCAGAATGACACCAATCGCAGCGTTTTCAGAAGCCGACGGTCCCCTTATGGAAGCCGCAGGAGAATCCGGAATGACACCGATCACAGCGCTTTTAGGAGCCGCCAGTCCCCCTATGGAAGCTGCGTGAGGATCCAGGATGACGCCGATCACAACTTTTTAAGGGGCCGGCCCTTCTACAGTCAACGAGACTTCAGTTACAACAACGGCTGGAGACGCGAAAACTACAGGAACTGCAACAAATGAAGATGGACATCCAACCATAGACAATAACAACAACAGCGGTATGTACCCCCTAACAGATGCTGCCCCCGCCCCCCCAACCAACACTCAGACAGAACTCAGAGTGTTGATCCGAACTTTACCAATAAAATCAGAATAATTCAAAGGCTCATTAAAGCAGTTCATCACTCCAGTAATGTAAATAATGGTGAATGTCCCCTTGCAGTCCAGAGGATTCAAGATCAGTTAATTTCTGTGATTGAACCAGTCAACCCCACTCCGATCACAGTTTCCCAGATAGAGGGGAATGCTAAAAACTGGGCACACACTACTGTCTAGATCCTGCAGGAACATTATGATCGAGCCGTTTGCACAGAACTTTCAGATCTGTCCCTCTTTTCCTTCTCTGACATGAAGGCCCCATTTCAGATTGCCACAAAATGGGCACAAAAAAACTTGGGCAGGCGTCTACTTCAACAAACCCTTAATGAAGTAGAGGGGCTTCTTAGAAACCCACCGGAAAACACTCAAACAACAACCCTGGCAGAAAACGTGACAACAGGTGGGACAGGACCCCCCTCCCCAACTCCCTCTGCACCTGGGCCAGTACCAATGAGGGAGCCAGACAGGAGGACCGACCCCCCTTCCCTTCCTCCCCTCCCGTTCCAGCCCCCCTCTCTCACCCTCCTCCCCTTCCCCTTCATCCCCCTCCACCTGCACAAGGCTCGCCAGCATCCATCTCCTCCTTCTCATCATCATCAGCGGAGTCGATGGAAGGATCAACGGGGGGGATCAACACACCAGGGAGGGACAACAGAACCGATGTTCCTGCCAAACAGGTGAGCTAATCAGAACACAGCTCTCACCTGTCATCCCTATTATCAAGACTCTAACTCGCCTCCTGCTGGACACCCTCCAACATCATCCACCTAACAACCCCGCATACTATCAGCAGCAGAACAGGAGGCTTATGAGGACTCCGTCATCACTGAGATGGAAGACTACTTTCTCAACACCCCACCTCTAGAGGAACCGGTGGGAAGCCTGCTTCGCTCAAGCATCCAGACCACCCTGACGGGGAGCCCCTTCACCGGACCTGGCCCCAAATCTGCAGCATCAGCACCGCATCCTGAGTATTCAGCACCATGGATAACCAAACCGACCAGACATGTTGCCAGGTTTGATAAAACTCTAGAATGGAGACTTGACATCAATAAAAAAGTATGCTATTCTAGGAGACTCCAACCTATCAAGACTCCATCTCTTTGATGGCACTGATCTACAAATAGACAGCTTCCCGGTAGGGAAGTGGGAGCATGCCACACTCCTACTACAGAAGGCCCAGATCAACTGCAAGGTGGAAAAACTGGTCCTCGCCTTCGGCCTCAACAACAGATCGGAGAAGAACCTGCAGCCTGTCATCGATTAGATGGAAAAAGCCTTCAGCACAGCAATTAGAAGACTTCCATCAACTCAGATCTACCTGGTCCAGATGAACTTTTCAACCTCCATCCCTCGTAGAGACCAGCTCATCCTGGAGGGCCTCAACGAGGAAGTCCAAGGGTATGAACATTACATCCCCCTACTAAAAGAGGGCTTCAGTGTAGAAAGGGATGGGGTCCACTGGACCAAGGGTACAGCCTTTTGTATTTTTGAACACTGGATGAAACATTTAAAATAAACTTCCCCGCAAGCCTGTCCTTACAGGAGGGGACAGGTAATGAACATAATAATAACAAAAATGTTATTAATCTATCAAAATCTTTTAAATTAACTAGTGCACAGTTATCTCTACTTAATAAAGGCCTAACATTTGTCCCCTCTATAGGGTTCGACAAAGACACTATAGCCCAGAGTAAATATGATTTACAACAATATCACAAAAGAGAAAAACTAGCAGTGTATTATAAGGAGGAGGATAACTCAGACATACCTCCATTCACCCCTAAATCCAGTTGGGAACTGGCTTTGGCCAGACTCCCAACTCAGGTGTCTTCTTTGATTCAGAATGACATGGAATATTTAAAAAAAACTTTAAAATAGCTAGACAGAAACCAAATTTGACCAGGGAAGAAACAATGGCTCTAAAGGAATTAATACAAAATAAGAACATAGTTATTAAACCGGCTGATAAAGGCAGTGCCATGGTAATAATGGATAGAGAACAATATCTACATGAAGGATATAAACAACTTAATAACACATATTATAACTCAAAACTAACAAAACCTATATTTCTAGAAACCATACCCCTAGTCAACAAAATAATCAATAATTTATATATTAAAAAATTTATCAGTGCTGAACAGCGAAAATATCTAATTGGTTCTGAAGAGCCCAGAGCCAGACGCTTCTACCTATTACCCAAAATCCATAAAGACCGCAGTAATTGGTCCTTACCTTTTGAGATCCCTAGTGGGAGACCCAACGACTCAGATTGTGGAAGTGAAACTTACCATACAGCGGAATATATTGATTATTATCTGACCCCACTCTTGATTAAGCATGACAGTTATATTAAAGATGCATATGACTTTATGGATTAAATAAAAAAGATCCACTTACCTGATGAGACAATCCTCTTCACGATGGATGTCGAAAGCTTATACACAAACATAGATGTCAAGGAAGGTATAGAAACAGTGAAAACCATTTTTAGAAAATATCTATGTCATTCCAGACCGGAGAAGGAATTACTCCAATTATTAGACATAAATCTGACCAGGAACGATTTTGAATTTAACAATGAATATTTTTTACAAACCAGAGATACAGCCAAGGGCAAGAAATTTGCACCTGCTTATGCCAACATATTTATGGCCTTATGGGAGGAATCAGCCTAATTAAAATGTGATAAAAAACCTCTGTTTTACTATAGATATCTGGATGACATCTGGGGTTGTTTGGACCCATTCCGAGAGAGACTTCGAGACCTTCCTGGACTCACAGAACACACACAATCCTTCTATAAAATTCAAAGCAACAACACACCGCTCATCAGTTGATTTTTTTGGATACTACTACTTTTAAAGGCCCTCACTTCAAAGAGACATCTGGGGTTGTTTGGACCCATTCCGAGAGAGACTTCGAGAACTTCCTGGACTCACAGAACACACACAATCCTTCTATAAAATTCAAAGCAACCACACACCGCTCATCAGTTGATTTTTTGGATACTACTACTTTTAAAGACCCTCACTTCAAAGAGACACATAGCCTGGACGTTAAAGTCTTCTTCAAGGACACGGATACACACGCATTATTATATAAATCTAGTTTTCACCCTAAGCACACATATGCAGGACTAATCGTCACAATTATTAAGATTTCATAGAATTTGCACACAGCAGACTGATTTTAGAGCTGCAACCAAGATTCTGTTTTCAGCCTTGACCAGGAGGGGTTACTCGAGGTCCTTTCTGAGAAGATGTCTGAGGACATTCCTGCTGACCAGACCGACCACGGTAGAAACTGTAATCCCATTTGTTACTAATTATTCTCCTTCGGCTATGAAACTGGTAAAAAAACAATATAAACAATTTTGAAAAATTTCAACAGGAGAGCCAATTATTACCAGATCATGGGATTATTGGAGCCTTTAGAAGAAATAAAAATCTAAAAGACTCTTTAGTCCATGCAAAACAGATCACTCACCTACCAAAGGTCAAAGATCTGTGGGAATTCTTCAGACAGCTCAAATGGGTTCAAAATAAATTTAACAGGGCAGTATTTAAAACGGCCAGCAGAGGGAGCCCCAAGACAAGAAGTTGTGTAAATTTGATTACATGTCAGCAGTGTGGGGCCCAGTATGTGGGGAAAACTGGAAACACACTTTGACCAGGTTTACCCAACACAGATATAATATTAATAAAAAGAAGGAGCCTCATACACCCCTGTTCCAACATTTTCTCCAATATGGCTGGGATTCTGTTAAGGCCACAATTTTGGAATGTGATCCCACCTGGTCACTTGCTCAGAGGAGAAGGGCTGAGAGAAATTGGATAATTAAATTAGACACCAGGACATCCAAAGGGCTAAATGAGAAAGATGCCTCATATTAACCTCTGATTAGTGAACCTTATCCCTTCTCCTGACCCCTGTTCTAAAATCAACCCCAGTAATGATATGCCTTACAATAACCCCTAATATATAATTTCTAACCCTCCCCCTTATCTCAAACCCTAACCCTAACCTCAGGGTTTGAATGCCTCATGTTAACCCCTTATATTTTGATTCTAACCCTCCTCCTGAACCCTATTCTAAAGTTAGCCCTATTAAGGATATGCCTCATATTAACCCCTAATATATAATTTCTAACCCTCTCCATTACCTCAAACCCTAACCCTAAACTCAGGGTCCTAACACCTCAATTTAACCTGGATATTTACTAAATCCAAGATACTTACCTGATTTAAAACTCCTAAATCTAAATCTGGAACCAACAAATTTAAGAAAAACATTCCCACCCACATCTAAACAACAAAAAAACAGAACAATACTTACCTGTTTTTCTTTTTTTTTTTTTGAAAAAATATTTTAATAACAAAAACAAAGACCTTCCTGTGRTGAAGGGGTTCCTCTCGGGGCTGATGGATTCGCAGGGGTGAGAGTTGGGACATGGATGGACCGTCACTTTTTTCCTCACCCTAACCTCACAGGTACCTTCCTGACCCTAAAACTAACCTAAAGTCAATTCACACCTTGGTCCTTAACTCAACCCCCACACCCAAAATCAGCCTCCGACGTCGTGGGGCCCAAGCTTTGTACCCGGTCCCCACGAGCCTGCATTTTCCTTAAAACTGGGCTCACGATGTAGGAAAAACAAGGCCACACACACACACACACACACACACACAC